ACAAATCCGCATCGATCTATCCACTAACTACGGATTAAACTTTGAAATGTATAATATGCCTTCAAAATGACTCCACTCCGCTATAATTAATACATATTTTTTTAAACTTCTAATGAAATATCAAAATAAAAATGAATGTGAGAGAAATTTAAGATGTGAAATTTGTTACAAATTAGAAGTTATACATATGAGAAATATTATCTAAAATTAATTTGTGTTATATCTATATAAAATATTAAATAAATTAATATAATATATTATGCAATGATTGATAATTATTTAAAAGTATTCTCCAATTAACTATAAAATTTAGCTGCTCAAACTATAATTTAATTATTTATTAATCTATAATTCACGATTTAATTTCAAACCACCGAACCGCACCACACCGCGCACTTTACTTAAATGATAAAACCTGTTGGTTTTTTAATTAATTAATTATTTTAAAAGCAAAAATACATCACATCTTCAGAGAGAGGTCACCAACCCTGTTACAGAACCTGAGCGGGTAAGCTTGTCCACATTGTATACATACACATGTCAATATACATATATATATATATGTGCATATATGTTGTTATATGATTTGACTGAGAACTGGGTTTGGATTTGAGCAGAAAAAGTTTGCATTGCCACGTAGATTATGCAAGGGAAAAGGGTTTTATAGATGCAAATTATGCAAGGAAAATTCAACCATAGATTGCTCACCTCTGCCCTACTTCTTATGGGAATAGGTCAGTCATTTCCAAAAAAAATTTCTTGTTCTTCTTCATGTGCTTCTGTAAAATCTTTGCGTATGTGAAACCAAGCAATTATATAAATTGAATTTGTGATATTGGTTATAGAGTACAACGTTGTCTCAATTGTTTGGAAAATGGCATTTATTATCAAATAAGTAGAGGTGGAAAATTGGTTTTGTATATGCTTGTGCTTTATTTCTGCTAGTAAGTTGTTTCTATTATGTATTGGATCTTCAGTATGTGAAGTTGTATATCTTCCTTTAATCTGTGCTTATTGGGATACTTTTCCATGACTCTTCTAGCTCAGCTATGAGATTATTAATAAACCAAGTTTATTATTGTAGTCATCAGATTAAAGGTTCATAGTATGAGCCTAAGATGTTTGATGAAATTCCCGACTGAACATTTATGACACTGTTTAGGTGATTTGCAAGATTGTTCCTTGTTTAGGAAATTAGATTTACTATGAATTGTGAATTAGCTAAATAATCTTGAATACCTTAACAATATCTTTACGAACACCATCCAAAAATGAAGTGTAGGCTATAGATTCAAACTTACACATTTCATTTTCAAGAAAAAAATTTGAAATATTTTCACATATGCATAGTAATGTCAAATTTTATATTTCTGTATATGCCGGAGAATAACTGTGCACACTTGTATTCCCTTAGGGTCTGTTTGATTATAAAGAAATAAATAAATGATGGAAAGTGACAAATCAAACTTTAACCTTCGGAACATGACAAATCATGGGTTGGTTCATACAGGATGCTGAGTTGGAATTTGTTGAACCCTTTTATAGCAGCCTTGTTTTATTGTATAAAAAAACTTAGTTTGATAGCATAAAGTTTTTTAGCATTTTAGGTTGCCATAAATGCCGCGGCAATTCTTCAGGCTGCTACACTAGTTTATGTAACTTGACATTTTTATCATTTAATACCATTATTTGCTCTGATTTTCTTATGCCTTTTCACTTTCTATCTCACTTTTTGAATACACCAACAAACCAATACAATTCTTCTTCCTTTCTCTCTTCTTACACTTTATCTACAACAACTGTTTTTGTCCAGAATTGTTTTCCTCTTGTTTTTTGTCATGACCTATGTGGAAAATTACTTGTAAAGTTGTAGTCTGTCCAAAGTCGCCACCTCAAGCCCTCACTTTTAATGAGAGAAATAGAGAAGATGAAGACAAAAGAGATGAGTTGTAGTGAGAGAAATCTGTGGAGAGAAGATGAGGAAAATCCTGGTAGAGACATAAATGGGTCTCCAATTTCATTAAGAGAGCAATCATGATGAAATCAAAGTAATAAGCCAGCAGAGAGGCAATGGCCCAAATCTTAAGTTCCATTAATCGAGTTTGGTGACTTTCCACAATGACTAAGCAATCAATATTTATTTTTTTCTTTTTTCAAACCACACTCCCCTCTCACCACGTTCCGTCCAATTCAAACCCACCACCATGGTGTTCAAACGAGACCTCAATAGGTTCGCACTCCTTCATCATGGTGGTAGTCGGTGTATTTTTTGTTGGACACAAACAACTAGAAAGAGGGAAAATATGGAACAGAGTAGAGAGAAAAATCAATGGGAGATGTGGTGGTTTCACTTGGAGGAAGGGAAGGCAACGTTTGGAGGGGGTGGTTTTGATGATGAAGTTATTTAGTACTCCTAAAATAAGTTCACATGATACTTTGGTAATTATTAATAACCAAACCAAACAAAACCAAGCCTTAAGTCCACTCAATTATTAATCCAAATAATAAATCCACTCAATTTTATTTTGGTGTTTTGATGGGACAGGGAGTCAATTGTATAGTGAAAGAGGAGAAAGGATAGAGAAATAGTAGTTTTGCTTTGTTGGTGAGAAAAAAATAAAAATGTAGGAGAACGAATGTAGAAATAGGGCAAAAATGTCATAAGACATAAATTAGTGTGGCATCATAAAAATTTGTCATGGCATTATGGCCACCCCAAGATTTATTACTTAAAAAGAGTATCTGATCTATTAGAGTAATGATATACAAACTAGTAAGTGTTGCAAACGTTTCTTACTGATGTGACACCTATCATTAGGAGTCTTCATGGACCCGTTTAGTTCAATTCTAATGTAAACCAAAAAGTAAACCAGTACCTTGATTCCAGAAAATTAGAAACCAAACTGATCCATGAAATCTTTTAAACCAATAAAGAAAATAAAGCTTTACAAATAATATTGAGTGTCATGATTGGAAATCAATAAACAAAGCTTTAAAAAAATAAAAATAAAATAATAATAATTATTATTTTTTGGCATGTAAACAAAAGAAAACTACAATCCATAAAATAAAGTGCATACGCGTTTCGGTTTTCTCTACGGTGTTCAAGTAATGTAAAAGTCACCGAAGCATGTGAAATTTCTAAGTTCTCAGGTACCTAATCGTGTTGGGACTTCATTAGAGCCGATGTGTAAGATCCCACCTGGAGTTCCTTGCGGGACTTAACCCAAAACCTTATGGCATGAGTTGACGACAACCATGCACCGCTTGTGTCCACGTTCCTGAAGGCACCTCTCTCTTTCAAGAGGATTTGCGGCATGTCAAGCCCTAGTAAGGTTTTTCACTTTGCATTGAATTAAACCACATGCTCCACCGCTTGTGCGAAAGAGCTTTGGTGGGATCCTCATGGAGAAAAAAATATTGCAGTCTGTTTGATAATGATCGAGTGATATTGCTTCGTTAGCCTGAACCAAGGAATCTCTTAAATATGATGCAAAATGGATCTTGTTCTATCATTGATCAGAGATTTCTCAATGAAAAACATGAATTGGAGTTTGAAGAAAGGAAAGGAAAGGAAAAGGAAAAGGAGCTCGTGACCTGCAACAGATAGAGGAGGATTTATTCAATCACATAGTTTGGGTTCCTAAAATATAGTGCCCTTGGGGCTTTCTATTTGATAATGATAATCATGTAAACAATTAAGCATGTGAATTAGGTAAGCATGTGAGTCAGTTAGGCATATAAACATGGTTCTCAATGATTAGTCAAATCCCTGTAAGCAGTTTCTAACCCTTAGAAAAATAATCCTATATACGATTTCTATGCTAAGGGTTGTTTGGGAATTGGTTTTTTTAGTGGCTTTTTGAATTTTTATGAAAAAATATGCAAAAAAGTAGAGATAATGATTTGACAACTTATAGTGACTTTTTGGCTAAAAACATAAGTTCTCAAATAGGGTTTTAGTCACATAATCATAAAATGGCCTACTTATAATTTTGTCAACCCACTGCTGGAAATCTGGCTTTTAGTGGCGTTTCAAAAACGCTACTATATCTATAAAAAACGCCGCTAATTCATTTTGTGGCGTTTAGTACCAAACGTCGAAGCTGCCGGCGTCGCTGTAGCTTTGCGACGTTTAAAAACGTCGTGATATTAGTATAGGAGGCGTTTTAAAAAAACGCCGCCAAATGTCCCACCATACACACGCTGAAGTCACCAACGATATTTAGCGACGTTTTGGAAACGCCATCTTATCTGTTTGAAAAATATGACTGTTAATGGTGAGGGTTTAGGAGGCGTTTGTAGAAACGCCGTCATATCTCTCTTTTTTTTTTTTTTTTTTTGGGTGAAATTGTGTTAATTTTATTTGACTAAATTAAAAAAAAATACCTATAATAAAACTAACATATAAAATATTAACTCCCATTCAAACACCTGTAATAAAACTAACATATAAAATAATAACTCCCATTCAAATAACAAATGAAGCATTAATTCAATTTCTCATTCAATTAATATCCAATCACCATTACCCACAAAATAACATATATCCAAAAATCATATTTTAACATTAACCACAAACTAACATATATCTAAAAATCACAGCGCACCAAAAGATTCTTTCCCAGTAGAATATTGCCAATGTCGTCTATTTCTAGGTTCTTATCTGATTCTAGAGTGTCTTTGAGCTCTGGATGATTTTTGAAAAAGCTAACAAAATCTTTTCCTCTGAAATATTCCACCTTCTCAGCAAACAACTGAAATACATCCTTCTTGGCAGCTTGTTTCTGAAATTATGATAAAAAATTAGAAAACAAAACAATAACTCATAACTCAAATTATTCATGATCTATGATAATAGAAGGTACCAAATCAGCCAAAATAAAACATTCTCTAACAAACAGTTCAGCACATTCACTAGACATACATGATACACCAGTGTCAAGCATGAATGCAGTATGACAAACTATTTTTTAATCACATAGGAGGAAACTGATTACTACATGTTTCTGCAGTGATTGGAAAAGAAGAAACAGATCTGGAGACTGTGCTTGGAATTTATGCCTTTTGATTGAAAACTGGCATTTAACTCCTCAGGTGACTCAAATTAATGTGTATCTTTCACTGTTTTTGTTCTCATTACTCATTAGTGATGCCTTTTCTTTTCATATAATTCCAATCCAACAAAAAAAAAAAAAAAACAGCTAGTACACCGGGCGCAAGATATATGTGGATCAGCACTCTGCCCTCACAGTAATTTTATAAAAAAAAATTACCCGAAAACCTAGTCACAATTTGAGCGTCTTTTCCATGATTTTCTGCTTGGGAATCACTTGTTTAAATGTGTTTCTATTTTAGGAGTGTAAAAGGAAAATTTCCTTGAGAGCTCTCTACTACAAAACAAGTTTGAGAATGGGATTCCTTGACCTGTTTATCGTGGCGTTGATGCCAGTTCTAAAAACATTGATCATTACCGCTATTGGCCTGTTCCTTGCAATAGATCCAGTCAATCTTTTGGGTCCGGTCGCAAGGCAACATTTGAATCAAGTAATTTTACAGCTATCTTTTTAATTTCCATTTCAACTTAGTTTTGACTATTCCTTCAAAACATAAATAAAAACTTGTTTTGACTATCACAACAACATTTGACTCCCTACCAAGTGTCTAAGATATATTTGTTTTTGACTTTCTCTAAAACTTGATGATTGTGAAACAGCTGGTATTTTACGTTTTCACCCCTGCACGTATGTGATATGATTTTTTATTAACTAGCATAATAATGTAAGCAATATGACATAATATTATAGGATTATTTAATATTTTTGTGTTCACATTAGAGTAGCTTCAATGAAGATGCTATTCAATATTATAACTACCGAATGTTTTAATGGGATTGCCATTGAAATTGTAATTGGTTCTTTCTACTATTGCGTGTGTGATTTATTACCCAATAACAACTCATCCTTTTCTAGAGTCCAACTCATCTCCTCTTATTAGTGAACCCCACCATTAAGCCATCACTCTGGGTGATGTTTTTGGCTGTTAGTAAGTATTCTTCATCCTCCCCAATTTATGGTTGCAATCAACATCTTATGATTCCTGCTATATTTGAATTAATCAGTCTAATAAATTAGATACTAAATTATTAAAATATAAAAATAAAAAATTTGGTCACTAAACATGTTTCTTTGACACAAGAACATGATCAAGACTTATCATCACGAAAAAAATAATAATAATAAAATAAAATGGACAAGTTGAGATTATTCAAGGCTGAAAGTGATGGTTGGGGATTGCTTCTAATTTTGTTTTGCTCTCAACTCACCTCAGCTAGTTGGGCATACTCTATCAAGTTTGCCAAACCTGAGCTTCGGGTTCATGAGCTCTGTGTATCTGATTAATTACAACGTCATTTTCTCAATCAAAAAATAAAAAATAAAAGATCGAAGAATTTACCAACTTGAACTATCTCTCTCTGATAGAAAGAATCTAATTAATTGACTAATGGATCAAAACATAGCTAATTTGCAAAAGACTTGTGACAATTTCTCATTGTATGCAAATTACACTCTGTACATGTGTAAGTAAACTCTTGAGGCAAGTGTGTAAGTAAATTGTAATTAAATTCACAATTTCAGAATTCAAGTATGATAGATTCTAATTCACTCTTATCCAATACGTCCAATTAAACACAAATAGAGCGAGATAGAGAGAGAGAGTACCGATTACAGTTCAGAAACAAAGTAGACTGTTCAATGGAGCTTGAAATGCGAGTAATCGAGGGGTCAGAAAGTTCAGATCTGAATCTTCAACATCGCTTCAATGGAGCTTCGAAATCGCAGGCGATGGCGCTTCGAAATCGCGTCGATGGAGCTTCGATCTGAATCTTCGATGAAGCTTAGATCTGAAACTTCGATAGAGCTTCGATCTGAATCAGGTTTTGTTCAATCTGAATATTTAAGCTTCGATGGAGCTTCGATGGAGAGGGTTGAGAGAGAGAGAGAGAGAGAGAGAGAGAGAGAGATCTGTGCGTATGTATCAAGGGTTGAGAGATCCGAATATTTGTTCAATCTTAATATTTAAGGCTCTGATTCAACATAAGGTTTTCTCAAAAAGGGGCGCATGTAGTTTACCGCATTCGGCCATTATAAAACGGTGTCGTTTTGCTTAATAGAATATGCGACGTTTATAAAATGCCGTTAAATACTAATAACAGTGACGTTTACAGAAACGTCGTTAAAAAAACGCCACCAAATCCCCCGTTTCCTGTAGTGACCCAAACACAACATTCCTAACACGTTTAGCATAATTATAAGCAAATTGTACAATCAATTTTAAACAAATTTGTTTCATGTCAAATGCATAAGGGTAACATGTTTAAACATTGGCACTCACAAGAATAACATATACCAATATTCATGAAAATAATTCAAAAGATTCATCACTAATCTGCTACACATCCAATCTGAAGCTAATGATACCCATTAATATCCAAACATCCAACAAAATTTCAAAAACTTTTGACAACAACAGATAATCCAATAGCTAAAAATAAAACATTTAAGATTCTATGGTTATTGAATCCTAGTTACATTTGGGTTACCTGCGTTCATTAGTGGCTTCGTGTCCACGTGTTAAGATACATTTTTACACGGGCCAGAAGGATCATGTTCGGGTTATTCATGTCCAACCTTAACACAACATAATTAATATTCGTGACCGTGTTGAAAGATGATCAATTCTAACCATCTAACTACTTGTGCTGTTTGAATCGTGTTAAGAGGTTGTGTGTCAAATTTCCACCCTTAATCTTAATTAAAAATAATCATTAATAATAAAGTCAAATAATATATTAATAAACCTGAGGTGGTATGAAATAATGAAAAATCGATGATATATAATAGTTCTCATATCTGAGTTTCGTGACTTTGATGAGAACAAAGGTACCCATAAAAATAAAATGGCCAAATTACACTTTACCTCCATAAATTAAAAATAAAAAAGGAAAATTTATAAATGAGACTGCCTTTTTCTAAAATTTTAATTGCTACTTCTTAGTGGCCATGTTTGGTTTAGTTTTTAGAAACTTGTTTCAGGAGTTTTTTCTAAAAACTAAAAATTAGTTTCTTGGAAAAGAAAAAAAAAATTATCAAAAGTAGTTATCATTTTTATACAGTGCTATCTTTTTGGAGGGCAAAAATAATTTTTGAAAATTAAAAAATATGGTTTACATTTTCAAAAATTATTTTTAAATGGATTTTCGTTTGTCTTTACTGAATTTTTTAATATTTTAGTCATTTTTTTTTTACTTTTTAGATACATCAAGATTATATTCATTTAAAATGTAAAAAACTTTAACTAAAAGATGAAAAAAAAAATTCACTAAAAAAAATCTGAACAAAAATACATAGATTTTTGTTCGAATTTTCGTTTATTTTCAGTGATATTTTTTTAATATTTTAGCCAATTTGTTTTACTTTCAAGATGCATTTTGATTAGGTGCATCTAAAAAGTACAAAAAATTGATTAAAATATAAAAAAACATTCACTAAAAATAAATGAAAACTTATTTAAAATTAGCTTTTAAAAAATCAAACCAAACAGATATATTTTTTATGTTTATTTTTTGTCAAACTAATTTCTACTTTTACAAAAAAATCTTAGAAATTTTATTCAGAGAAAGAAACCAAACATCGCCTTAAACTTCCAAGCCATTTGACGTGGGAAATTCAATTTCTAAGCAAATGTAACCGTCTTTAAAAAATTATGTTTACAAATCAGCACAGAGAAGTTGCGGCAATACAACATAAATAGTTAAAAGACAGTTAATGCTCCACAACATAAATAGTTAAAAAACATACTTAATGCCATTAATTTATGATGCTCAACGATATATTTGTTCTATTGATTCATCTATCTTGGCCGATGGACCTTGAGGTTATGAATTCGAGGACAATCACTTTGTGTATTTATATCAAAGGTTAGGTATGTACCCAATCTATCTCCCTCTCAAACACTCATTAATAGGTAATAAGTTGGTGTTGGTTTTTTAATAATTCGTCTATTTGCCAAACAAAAAGAGAGTCAAATTTCATGGAAGAATCTAATCTCTTGTGCACATAAAATTACCATAACATCATTTAATAATTAATGACAATTAATCTGACCATTATTCATTCAAATCATTTACAGACCAGCTATGAGATCATAATGAAACAATTGTCTTTCAAGATTTACGATCAGTTTGTTTAAAAAGCAATGTCCGTTTTGCAATCACTAATATCATCGACCTTTTACTTCTGAAATTGTAACATCATTTATAGAGCAAGGCTTTGGAATTTCAAGTCTATTGGCATCATTTACACCTATGATTGCAGAGAAAGCAGGTTGCTTAGGAGTAGGTATAGCGGATCTTTCATTACTAAGCATAGACAAAACTTCTGAAATTGTTGGTCTATCTATTGCACTTTCTTGAACACACAAGAAACCAACTTCAATGTATCTCATAACCTCACTTGTACATGTTTCAACTAATACTTCATCCATTATCTCCAATCCCCTTCCTTCGTTCCACATATCCCAAGCCTGAAATGGTTCATTAATAATGTTATACAAGTTTAGTTTAACACAAACAAAGGAAAGGTAGACACAATTAGACCAAATTATAGTTACTTACATATCCTAATAAATTCAAAACACGATCAGGCTGATAAAAACCTGTATTCTTCTTCCCACTTATAATCTCAAGCATCATGACCCCAAAGCTAAAAACATCAGACTTCACCGAAAATAGACCATCCAAAGCATACTCGGGAGACATATAACCACTGTTTCCACCAAACCCACAAATCATGTTGTCAAAAAAAATTTGGTTCGCATGTATATAAAACTAGGTTTCCATTACATGTTCAAAAGAGCTATTTAACTTACTATGTCCCAACAATTCTCTTTGTGTTTGCCTGAGCTTCATTGTCTCCAAATATTCTTGCAGTGCCAAAGTCAGATATTTTTGGATTCATATTATCATCCAACAAAATGTTGCTAGTTTTTAGATCCCTGTGAATGATTCTTAACCTAGAGTACTTGTGGAGATATTGAAGTCCTTGAGCAATTCCTTCAATGATGTTCACACGCATTTTCCAGTCCAGTAAAGCTCGCGTTGCTTTATCTGTCCCAAAATTTGTAGTAAATACATAAATAGGTATTATGACCCTAGGGACAATTTAAGAAAGAGAATCAAAATAATAGATCAGTTGAAGGTATTAAAGTAACGAACCAAAAATAAATGAATCTAAGCTTTTATTTTTCAAGTATTCATATATTAATATCCTCTCATCTCCTTGACTGCAATAACCCAAAAGTCTAACAAGGTTTCGATGTTGAATCCTTGAGATTAATATAACCTCATTCTTGAACTCTCTTAACCCTTCTCCGGTACTTATAGAAAGTCTTTTCACAGCGATTTCTTCTCCATTAACTAGCTTACCCTGAAATTTATATGTTTAGTATGAGATGTGTAATGTACATAGCAGATCAAAATAATGTTAAAACATGAATAGCGGTGATAGTGGTCAGGAACAAAAGTAATCAGAGAACATTAATTGAATGCATTATTCAATGGAAAAATAGTGGTGATAGTGTTCAGGAAACTTCAATTTAATGTGGTGACTGCAGAAATTAGGACAAATTTATTTAAGCATCAATTATTGTAAGATAAAATGTGAAATGTAGAGATTTTTGTGTTGGAGAAAAAAAGTCATATGATACCTTATAAACTGACCCAAAACCACCCTGCCCAAGCTTATTTGCGTCAGAAAAGTAATCTGTAGCGATTTCTATGCTACGAAGAGTGAACAGAATTAACTCATGATCATCAATAATTGCTGCTTCAGTTTTTTGTTCATACAACAACAACTCAGTATCTTGACTTGTCTCATCTTTACTTCTTCCATTATTTCCTGGTTAGCAAAAAAGGAAAATTCTATTTAGAGTAGCACACTAATTATATAACTAATCTTCAATGGTAAAGTTAAAATTACCTTGAAAGTGGGGATTTTTCCACCATAGATACAACAAGAAGGTGACTATGAAAAAAGCTACTGCACCACCAATAGCCAACCACAGCTGCCTCTTCTTCGAATTACCTGGGGGTAGTATTATTAGCATGGGATTAGCTCTTCTCCAGTTCGAGTATGGATTGGAGAGGTCTAGTGTGGACTGTGGAGTCATCACAGGTTTTATTTTGATGATCTGAGTCATTGCGTAGATCATGCGTGAAAAAAAGAAGAAAAACAGAAAAAAAACCCGGAGTGATCCAATTATCATAGTCGCATCATTTCATTATATTTCTCATTACTCATAAAAAATTGGATGCTCTACCCTCAAAAGTCATTTTTTTGTAAGTCAAATGTGATGACATCAAGGTTTTAAAAAGCGGTCGCAACCGTTACGTAACGCCGTTACGTAACGGTTTTGGCGGTTACCGCCACCCGTTACGGCCGCTTTTGCAGTGTGATTGAGATTCACAGGTGTGTCGGCCGTAGCGGCTGCCGTAGCGGTCGTGACGGTGCCGTAACAGCTGTAACGGCCTGTTACGCACCGTTACGTAACGGTTTCAAACTGTTTCTTTCGAAAAAACACAAAAAAAAGAGCTGAAAATGGGGAAAGAGGGATAGAGAGAAGAGGGAAGATAAAGAGAGAAAATGGAGCAAGAGATAGAGAAAGAAGAGGGAAGATGAAGAACATGTTATTGATTTGTTGAAGCTGTAAGACCTATGTTATTCTATTCAACTGCTATCACTCAACCATTTTGTTTGTATGTGTCTATCTATATATTGTTTGAAAATAATAATAATAATAATTGTAGTCATTATTTATTTGGCTCGGTGAAAATATGTATATTT